ACTGAGCTCTTGGGAGTGTGGGTAGTAGCTGGGAGAGATTCCCCCTGCTTTTGCATTATTTTGGGCTGTGGCATGTAATTGAAAAGGAGCTGAAACGCCTTAGCTGTAGCCTGAGCTTCCCCTTCACGTATTCGGACATGATTAATGAGTAGCCAAAAAGCCTGAAGGGTTTGTAATGAAGCCTTTCTAATAGGGAAATGTATTGTAGACAAATCCATATTTTGTCCCAAACAATCATTCATCAAAGCTTCAATTTGACTCTCCACAATTAAATGCCAGAGCACCCAAACCATCCTGAGGTTAGCCAGCTGTAACCCATGCTCACATCTCTGAACTCTGGCTGAGAGGGACATTGTCATCCATTTCCAGGGAATCAGCATATTTCCTTTGTCACTAACTATAATTAGTAGCTGTATTTGATGATCTTCAATTAGAGAGAGTTCACCAAACCTGAGACTAAGTGGACTGTTCTTACAGGCCTCAATTCAACAAAGCACGTAACACATGCTGAGCATCAGTATGAGTCAAAAGTCTGAGTAGAACACCTACATGCATTTTTCTGAGGGCAGAGCACCTTCGCAGTGGGAGACCATCTATCCTACAGCACAGATGAAAAGACAAGATTGGAGTACCCAGAGGAGACACTTAGCAAGGCCTGGTTTAACATGTCATTAGGCAGCACTTGACACCAATCCCTGTTGCAGTCTGCCCTGCAGGTGATGTATCAATTGCCAACAGTGCTGGCAAATCTGGGAGCACACTAGGTTAAAAAAAGACTCATAATAATTTCCTTTAAACACTTAATCTTTCAATAGCATCCAGAGCCCAAATCTTAGGTCCATTAAACAGGACATTTAACCAACCTGTTAGCAGATGCCAGGCCTGTAAAGAAGGCAACTGTTTATCTGGTAGAACGAGACAATTTTGGACAGCTTCTTTTAATGCAGTCCCTAAGGACTGGATTGAGACCTACGTTACATTTTGCTTCAGTCCTCAAATGGCCAATGGATAATAACACATTTCATTTTGTTTCACATCATCCTCGGCTTAAATCAGTATTTAGGGATGAAAGACAGCAAATGTCTCCCACTTGTAATTTCACCCTGTAATGCAATATAGGTATTACATTGCAATAAAATCATATTGTGTATTATCAGAGTTTCACCTACTCAAAATACTTTCAGGAAGAACTTTCAGAGTTGTAGCTTCAGGGTTGAAAAGTCTTCATCTCAAAAAAAAAAAAAGACTTCTGAAGAATCTAATGGTAACATTAATTTATAACTGTGTGATTAACGGCCATGGCTTTCAAAGGCTTTATTGGAGTTTCCACATTTTATCCACAGAGTCTGGTGTGTCTGTCTATCTCTTGGTGGAGACATGGCCAAGGGGAAAGCAAAAGGTCCACAAGGGAAAAGGATCACCTTGAAGATGGCCAAAAATTCAATCCGGGTAAGTTTTAGTGGAAGGCGCCGTCTTGACTTAAGCAAAATGGGCATCGCCACCTTCCCCAAATGCATTCTGGAACTGGCTGGTGATGTGGACGAACTTGATTTGAGCAGAAACATGTTGAGAAAGATTCCAAACACCATTGAAAAGTTCCAGAACCTGCTCTGGTTGGACCTGCATAGTAATCAGCTTGATGAGCTGCCCAAGGAAATAGGCTCACTTCAGAACCTTACTTTCCTGAATATATGCAACAACAAGTTGACCACGGAAAGTCTGCCAGAGGAGTTGAACCTTCTCAAGAACCTCAAGACTCTTAACCTTGGCTTGAACTGTCTTGAGACTGTTCCCACCACTCTTGGGGCCCTGAGGGAACTCGTTGATCTAGGTCTCTTTGACAACGTCTTGACCACCATACCAAAGAGTGTGAAAAATCTCCCCAAGATTGAGAGAATGAATGTAAAAAGAAACCCTTTACGAGAGTTAGAAAAGCCAGAGGAGGAGATTGACACCATTAAACGCATAGAAACACTTCACTTAGTAGAAGAGAAAGACCTATGCTCTTCCTGCCTGAAGAAGTGTAAGGGTGAGAGGGATGAGCTGCACAAGCTGGAGGACATGACACCTAGCTCCTCCAAGGAGCTAAGTTTCCCTTCACTCCTTACACCCAATTCCTCTGCAAAGGATAATCAAGAAGAATGGAGAGTAAGAAGCACAGATCCTTGAAATACACCAAGGCACTGCACATATCATATGCTATGAAGTCCAGTCCAAAAAAGAAAGAAAAAAAATAAAGCTGACCTCCCTCTTCTTCTGTTTTCCTGCTCTTCTTCTTTAAAGCTCTGCTCTGTTTTAGAAGCTGATCTCTGTGGTCTCTAAACTGAAAACCAAAACAACTAAAACAGATGTATATTTGGGAAGGGCTATTTTGATCTGGGCCTGTTGCTACAACATGTTCTCCATGTTTGGGTGTTTTTGGGGTCTTTTGTTTGTGCATGTGTCCAGTGAAGGGATCTTTTAAAAGAAAGGTTTTTCTAGTAAATCTATTCCCACCACTAAGCCCCAGACATTAGTTGTGTTCATTTTCATAGGGTGAGAAACAGTTACTCTAGTCTCAGTAAATACAGTTTGGAGGAAAAGGCACAGACCTGGGAACCTTCTGCTGCTGGTGGCTGCCACCAAGCTCTCAGAGAGTCCCAGACAGGCACTGTCAGTGTCAGAACTGTGAGGCTGTTCCAATTCAGAGGCAGCAGCTACAAATGTTATGCTCAGGAATAACTAAGCAGTGCAAACACAATGCTTAAAGATAGACAACCCATGATCCTATTTTGCCATCAAGGGGCCAAACTTTGCATAAGCAAGTTCTTTGGGATTTTGGGTGCTATACCTAGGTGCAGCAATCTCCAAGTTGCACAGTACAATCAGCACCACTGCCCATACTCAATTGTGTTTTGTCTGCCTCTGAGTATCCCTCCAAGGAAGCTGCAGAAGGGAGAAGGGGTAGGGAAAAGGTTTCTTTCTGGAGTCCCAGCTTTATCACTTAGGCAGTGACTAAAGTGATTAAGAAGAGTCATCATCTTCCATGATCCAAGAATCAGTTTGTGAATTGATGAAGTCAGGTCTGGTGTTCTCACACTACTTTTAGCTTTCCATTCACATGTTCATATGCTTGTGTGCACCTGAGCACACACATTCACTTGCTCACATCGCATCCCTAGGGCAGAGATTGCTGAGAGCCTGCAAACAGCAATATACAGGTACAAGCAATGAGTAGATTATAAAGGCAGTCAAGCATGACACAAGAAGTAGTGCTGGCAGTGACCGTAATAACCTGTGGTGACGGCAAACATTTAAGTATATTGAAATGAGCGATAAAGTGCCAGGAGCACTTTATTTTTTAAATTACTACAGTGGAGTCTGGGAGTTGGAACTCTTGTGTATTTCCTATGGACTAGGTGGAAAAAACTATATGGGGTTTCCCAGAAATGCTATTACCTCAATGTCATGTGATGCATCAAACTAGTAATTTCTTCTTTCTATGCTTCAACTGTGCAATTATTAATAGTGTGTCTGGACAAAGAGCCAAATCAGGCCTTCCTCCCTGTCTCAGGTAGGGCAGATAAAACTTGGATGCTGTGGAAGATGGCCATTGCACTCCTAGATGGGGACAGAACCCTATATGCTGCTTTTGAAATTTTCTAACTCAGAAGCAGCTCCAAAATTCAAACAAGGGAAAAGTAAACTCATCATGTCCTCAGTCCTTCAGTTCTGCCTGGAGCTTGGTAAAGTGAAGCACACCTCCTAAAGTTATTTTCACTAGCTTTCCACTTAAGCACAACTTTTCTGGGATCATTACTTACGCAGTGGTACTATTTTATGTTTGTTTCAGTTCATTCTCTAACATGGTCCAGCCAAAGCTCTGCCAAAGCTCTCCTACGTTCTTGGAGTAAGTAACAGGGTCTTCTCTCAGCTAATGGAGTAAAACTGAAGATTGAGCCTTATGGGATTCAGGATAGGCTACTTTAGACCTAGATTTGCAGCTTGCCTCAATCTCTGAGATTAAACATGAATCAAGGGCTTCCCACAACAACCACAAGCCCAGTTAATGCCCAAAGTTCCTAATGCTGTAGTGCTTCTTATCTCAAGATATTCACACCAGTTGAGCACCCAGGAAGCACAGCGAAAGGAAGCCCTAGGGTGAGTTACTGTGTACTCCACACAGAACAGACACCATGCTCCACAGAGTCAACCATTCCCTCTGGCATAGGTTAGGCTCTAGCCAGAGCTGGCTGCAGATTGCACTGATACTTTTTGCCCATTGATGACTGGATGAAAATCCTCACTTATAAGATAGGTAATGATCTACAACAGGTAGACTGAATTAAAGAACACAGCTGACACAGGCCACAACAGCTCACAGGAGCAATCTGCCCCTTAGGTCGCAACAGTATTTCAGCCTCAGGTGATTATTTCAGAGGAAACCAATTAGGTACTTAGGGTTGTGTTCCTCAGATACCAAAATTGAGAAAAATTACAGGTATGCAAGTAACTCATGGTCAGCATGAAACGTGCTCTCAATCACCTGCCACTAGGAGAAAACCTATTTTTTCCTGCAGTGGTAAATCTGAGGGACAAGTCTGAATCTCCACTGTACAGCTAATATAACACACCAAAAGATCCATGTGTACATCTATCACTGTCTGCCCTAAGCACACAATGAAGAGGTCATTATGCAGAAGCATTATGGATTAGCTCTAACCTCATCTCACTGACTGTCTCTTCCCACAGTTACCATCCGTGTAGAGTTTACCAATAAAGTAATATTAAGGAGATAATAATTATCAATCAACTGTGCATGATCACCTACTCAACACTATCTTCATGTCTCCATAGTGTGGATGATATATGCTAGAATGCTTTTTGGAGCTCTAGCAACATCTTTGGATCTTTAAAATAGGGGACACAAATAGATAAGTTTCTGTATCCTTTGCTTTAAAATACAACTTATTCAAACAATTGTACTTATCTACAGAAATCCAGTGTTTCCTATGATTTACCTTATATTCAGGGACTCTTCTGTTATCCCCTTTGACTTCAAAGCAGGCTGGAAAGAGCAAAATCTATAGGAGAGATATGAAAGGTCACATTATATTTATGTAAATGGTTATTAGGATACATTACATATGTATATAACTAATATCATGTCCTCAACAACAACTTTCTTCCTGAACGATGCCACAGCATTTCACTGAGACTCTAACCTAGAATAAAGCTGTAAGACAACACAGCAAAAGTATACATCTAGTATTAAGGAGTTACCTGTGGGCTGGATAAAAGCAGTTTCTTTCCCAAACAGGACTTTGAATTTATATATAGGGCTATGGACTTATCATCAGGTGATTTAAGGGGCTGTTAAAGCCAGAGAATAAGAACCCACTCAGACATTTATTTAGGAAAAATGGCAGAAAGGAATACCAACCCACATCTCAGCCATTCCTCTTTATATTCGCTGTGGGTTTTATGATGTCAGACAAACTATACCCTTGGAATACATAGATTTTGTGACCTTCATCTGAAGATCAAAACCTCATGTTGAACTGCCTTTGAAAGATTCCCCCAAGAGATACTTGTCAGAGCTCAAAGACAGCAAAGATAAAGACTAAACAAAGCAGCTGGACCTGTGATTCTAAGTAGTCGCACTATGCAGCCAATTTGGAAAGGAAGATTAAATAAATCTGCATTGAATTTTTTATGCAATACTCCTATAGGAAGTGTTCAGAGATTTCAGGAGTGAAAGGAATTGCTGTGATTGTTTAGAAATTAATGGTACCAATCCTCAGTTCAGGCTGAAACATTTACCACAGGAGAAATACTAGTATTGAAGTGTTTCTCCTGTGTAAAGGCCAGTGAATGTAATCCTGATATGATGGTTAGAACTACAGCAGAAAAAACATGCAAGAAAATAAAGTGCAAATTAATCACTCCATAGTCTTACATTCAAGTTCCATTTAACAAGACAAGCATATAGGAAGAAATCTTTTTTAAATAAAAATGCCATTGCTAAAAGTTAACTCCACACCAAAGATAGTGTCAGAGAGGCAAAAATATTTTATTCCTGAAGAATCTAATGACACTTTGTGTGTTGGAAAAAGCAGGAAGAAATCTTCTTTTATCCACTACTGTGAAGTGAGGTGGAGGTGGCTCTCATCTCAGTGGGAGGAAGGAGCACAGCTACAACTGCAGTTTCCTGGGATGCAGGGTCACACAACACACCACTGGGTGCTAGAAAAGTCCTACACATGGATTAGATCCCTTGATAAATCAGTGGCTGTTTAATGCTGCAACGAATTCACAGGTCAGCAAAAGGAAAATTTCATAGCTTAAGTGTAACCCATTAAAGCCCAAGGAGCTGAAATTGAAAATAAAGCTGCTGCGGCAACACAACACAGACACTTTAGGCCAGGATAAATAGGGGTGGTAGACCAGGAGCATCACTTGGGTATTCCCATGTTATTATGAGATAGTCATTACCTTTTAAATATCTTATTTCGGTCGCTGTCGTGGAAGACAAGAAATCTGGAGTAACCATTTTTGAAGAATATTTCCAAGGCAATCTCCTGGAAAGGAGATTTACAGTGTGAAGAGCTGCAGAGCAAAGCCTAGTGCTGTAAAAAGGTCCATTATGGCCTGTCCAATTCTTCAGGGCTTTAAAAAAAGGGACCTTGACTTTGTACGAAGTGTGAAGAAGTAAAGCAAAATATGTCTACTATTCTGTATTTCTCTAACTGTAGGAACGGTCCTGCTGGGTGACTAGGAGTTCAAATGCTTCTTTGAAACAAAACCAAACTCCAGATATTGGTGCCATCACTCACCTTTTCCTGCTGCTTCTGAAATATTTTTATTTTGAAATCTTGTGTGATTAATAAGACAACAGTTGCATTAATTTCCAATTAGGTGTTAAAGATAACACAAAGAGGGGATTCTAAGTAAGAGTTTCTTATAGAAAGCAACCACACTACTTTCTAAATTGAGAGCTAAAGAGAACTGCCCAAATTTCTCCTGAAAAGAAGAAGTAGCAAAGAAGGAAGGGGAATTTATGGCATTTCTCACTGAAGCTTTGAAGAATTAAAGTTGAAAGAAAACTTCACTCTCTTTCCCCCCCGCAATGTCTCCACACATTGCTATGTTGGACATTTGAATATAATCCTATTATTTAATCAGTGAGTGGTCCTTTCCCCCCCCCATATCATTCAAGTAAAACTATAAATAACATGCAGTGTCTGTGAACCCAGACATGAGTTTCAATCCAAATGTGGCAGGTGCAACACAAACCTAGAGAAACACCACAGTGGCAACTGCCTCATACATGATTCACAAATAAAGTATAAAGTAGAAAGGTAATACGAGAGCAGCTATGACAATAAACAGCTTGCAGCATTTACTCTGAAGCTCAGCTTTCCAAACCAAGTCTGCTCAAGTGTTGCCATTACAGAATTAGGCCATGTGGTTTCACACTGCTTTGCTCTGGGCTGGGCTGTGTGCATGAAAAGGAGATCAGCTCTGAGGGACAGTAGCTGCCTAAACAGCTGATCACCTGTCCTGCAGGGAAAGCATAAGGAGTCAGGTTTCCTCTTTTTCCACAATATTTTTTCAAAGATGTTTGTGACATAGAGTCCTAGTACAAGCCTGATACAGATACCTGAGTTTTCAGTTTATTGAAACAAATAAAAAACAAAGACCCTGGTACGAAAAAACCCAAAACAAAACCAAACCAGAAAACAACCAAACAAAAAAAAACCCTAAAAAAACAAACAAAAAACCACCACCAAACAAACAAAAAACTAAAAGCCAAAACCAAACCAAACAAACAAAACCAAAAACCACAAACAAAACAAAACAAAACAAACAAACAAAAAACCTACCACAAACCCCCTTGAACCAACAAGCCCAGCCTTTGCCACAGGCCCATTCAAAGACTGTTTCTACTCATCTCCACTTTTCATTTTGGGTCAAACCAAACATTCCTATTTTGCGTGTTTTAATAAATTCATGCATACACAGATGTGAATATGTGAGTAGTTAGCAAGCTTCCAGTGGCAACTTTATGCTATTCACGGAACAGAAGAGGTGACGGTTCTGTTGCTCAGGCTGATCACCAGTGATGTAAGAAAATAAGCTTCTCACAGTTACTCAGAACACGACTTAACATTCCTATACATCCTTGGCGAGTGACCTAACCACTGAAATATCCTATATCCTAAAGCAAGTCTCACTTACTAAAATTGTCCATTTTACATACATAATTAAATGAAATAAAACAGGGCTGACTCATGGATGAGTGCCATACTACGTGAATAAGACAATTATCAGCTCCATTTTCTCTAGCTTCTGAATTTTCCAGATGATTTCTTAATTCTCTGCTGAATCTCAACCTTCCAAAAATGAATTAAAAATAACAAGCAACTAGTTATGGCTGTTTCAAAACTCCATATTTTTGACAAATCTGTGAATTACTCTTTAGACTATACCAAAACCCTCTAAACAAGTACAGGCTCTGGTGCTGCAAGAAGCTCTAGCTACAATTCTTCTGTGATTCTCATCACAGGCTCACCTAAACCAGACAAAACTAAAAGGATACCAGGCCACTGGTGATGAGTAGTTCCTGGGTATTGCACTAACAGCACAAAGGATTTGAATCCTCTGTTCTGGCTCATGTTTTTTTTTATTGAACCACATGCACAACTTGGAAGTTATTCCAAGAGGCCCAGGGTGAGTGTGTTACACATACCCATAATCCACTGATGTCATAACTACTGAAGTGTGTGGGAGATAAGTATTACTGAAAGTCATCCACTTACTGGGAGCTTCCATCAAAACACAGGAAATTGACTTCAAGTCTAATTTTCAAAAATATTGAGATAAAGTGTGAACAACACTGTTAGTCTAACAACTAATAAGCCAACCACTCCAGTGAGGGTGCTTAAACACTCTGGTGAATATAAAAAGGAGTTTGTATTACCAAAGGCTAATGAAAACAATGATGGGAGCAAAAGGATTTTGGGACTCAAGCAAAGAAATCTCCACAGTCAGTGAAAATTGAGCTAGTAGTTTCCAGTCATGTGTCATTAGTGCTGTTGCAGCCTTCCCTCAAATGACTAAGCATGTCAGTTCCTACCTGCAGAAGAAACCGCATCAGATGAATCTCTTTTATATCATGATACGAATAACGGGAACACATCTGGTCTCCCACAGCATGATCTTTATGACATAAGTTGAAAATAAACGGATCACTGATGCTGGAAGAGAAAAAATATATATATAAAAAATAAAAAAAATTAATTTGAAACAAAACACACCTGAGGAGCCCTCATGAACATCCAGGTCCTCCCTAAAGGAAAATACAAATATAAAGAGATAGCAAGATCAACTTGGGCATACATGAACTGAAAACAAAGCTAAATACTAAAGGTTCTCCAATTAAAGAGCCTGTGGAGGCTAAGGGCAGGTTTGGAGTTATTTTAGTGCATGCAAATAGGCAATGTTTTGCACACACTGAAGTATAAGAATCAGGGAGGGAAGGAGCTCAGTGGGAGAACTTGAAAGCCTGGGTCGAGGGCAAGTGTTATATGGACACACAGCTACTGTAAACAGCAGTTACTTGGAACTAATAATCAAGCAATTAATTCATTATTATTTTAGTTGTGTATATGTATTCAAATTGCTATCTACAGCCTAGCTCACAGAAAATCCCATAGAAAAGCAACCTAAGCTTTTATCAGACCCAGTCTAATCAATCCTTAAGTCACTTGATCAGATTGACTGATATTGGACTTACTAAGATTTGGATGCAGAGCAGACAGTCAAGGAGTAAAATCACTGTGTTACCCTCTGTCCCACTGGGCTTTGCACATGAGCACAAAGTATGCACAAAGAGCTTAGTCTAACAGACTCATTTTCAGTATTGATCGCTTTCAATAAATCATGAGCCAAAGAGTGTGCCAAATATTAATTACGATTCTCTCTTGGAGAAACAAACAAAAACACATGAGACAGTGAAGTTAAAGGACGTTGTACTGACTGTTCCATATGAATAAAAGATGTGAGCCACTCAGAAAGAAACATTAACAACACTTAAAATAACTGAAAACCAGCAATGTATGTGTGAGACTGTCCGCCATCTCCATCTGTTGAAGATGGGAGTTCTCATTGCACCTCCAAAGCCTGTGCACAAACATCTACATTAGTTATGTTAAACAATTCTTTGAACAAATAGAAAGGATGGCAATTTTCTTGCTGTGCTACTATGCTCGTTGAAATCCCCTCAAAGTCTGTGCAAATTCAAGGTATCCATGTGCCAATACTGAAGTTAACCAAGCAGATCTCTGGAAGGAAAGGATGACTCACCTGGACAAGCAGTGACGAGTACAGTAGACTTCTTCTAGAGGGGACAACACAAAGCACTCGCAGATGTAGAAGTGCTCTTTGCCAAAGAGCAACACTCCTTCCAATGCTGTATGGCCCTGCACAACTGCCACAGAGCACTTAAATGTGACCTAGTATGGATGCAAGCAGAATGAAACCAGGAGTTGGTAACACAGGAGACAGAGACAGCAGGGAGCTAGACCCAGTGATGCAGAAGAACATATGTTTGTACCAAAACAGCTGCCATATTGATTGGCAGGTCCATAGGGACGAGGCCACAAAATCACCATACGACTTGCAGTGCCTGCTTCTGTGGTACTAGTAGTGGAAGGGTCTGATGCACTTTTCCACAGTTTCCCTGTTCCTTACCCATCTTTCTGTAGTTATAGTTAGCAACATCACTACAGAACATGAAGAACTTGCAAACATTGCAGGAGTTAGCACTGCAAAACTTTGTTAGAGAGCATTACTACACAGGCAGGGGGTTGAAGTACTGAGGAAAGAAGTGACTAACACAGCATCATACAGAATAACAGTGACATATGATAAGTATATATGTATTTCAAATAGAGAGAAATGGTAAACATTTTCATTTAGATCCCAGTGAAAAAATCCTGCAAACGTGCAGGGAGAATGAGCAAGGAAACAATCTAGTTCTCTGGGTATCTATCTCACCAAGGCCAGCTGAATAAGCATGGATTGAAATCCTCAGTAACACAAAACTCCTTGAATTGGCACTTTTCCTTCTTGTATTATACAAAAGGCCAATCAAAATATATGAATCTATCATTTTAGTTGTCTTAAAGATTTAGATAAACACTCTGGAATACTTTAAAAAATCTCCCTTTGCATCTCACTTTCTTGCATTTACTCCTGAGTAAATTAACTTGGCCCTTAAAATAGAGGAATTTCTAAAACACAATTTAGAAGCATTGGGAATTTTTCAACCAAGTAGTTCTTCTGTCATGTATGCCAGTTCATGGAATTGACTGATTTTGACAAAGAAAAGAAAGCCTTTTTTCTGGAACAGTTTCTATGGCTGAGAGATGGTGCAAAAAATAAACAGAACAATACAGAGACCAGAAAAATCCAACCATCCGGAAAATTGTGTGGGCTGTAGGAAATTTAAAAGTTGTGACTTTAAATCAAGCAGTAATTCATTCCAAAGAATTTCCCTTACATTTAGAGGCATGAAGTTCCTTATTTTTCTTGTCTGTTGATACAACATTCTACATATACTCAGCTCCAAAAGCACAGTCCACTGGTTATCACAGACAACTGTGAGGATCAAGATCAACTCACTGTTGTGGCCAGTTTCAACCAGTGTCTCCTACATTCCCAGGGCAGGAGGCAGGAGCTAATTATCAGTCTGTTAGCCCAGTCTGAAGCACCTTCTATTTGCAAAAACCCCTTCAAACATTCATTCTACAACAAAACACTAATGCTTCCAAAATCTTAAAACACTAATACTACCTTCCATACTAAGAAAACTACTCACTGCTGAGCTCTCCCTGTAAATTAACACAATCCTGAACTGCATACAATCCAGAAATGAGTATAAAATTTTGCAAGCTGAGTCCATCTGAAAATGCAAGGACCAGAAGGCTGCATATGGAGGAGTTAGAGAGGAAGAAATTTCTTGGTTCAGAAATCTAGTGCAACGTTCTTAAGAGAACAGATTAACAAGTATGAGAAATATGACAAAGTCAGTTTTTCTCTTAAGATCTCAATGATCTTATCTCTACCAAACTTTGTAAGAAAAAGGGTGCTGCATTATTTTTTGTGCATGCCCAGAAATGGCATTGGTTTTACAAGATCATGTGAAGTCTACACGATGATATGTAGAGTAAGTATGGTTCTCCTTTGCTCTCTGCCTTTGTTCCTAACCTCACTATTTCTGCAAACAAATCTACAGCCTTCCGTGCCTCCATCCCAAAATACACATAAGCTAGCTCAGGTCAGCTGAAACGGGCCTGCACTGATACACAAACTTTCAGTCTTTGATGCCAGCATAACATAAATAGTAAATATATAAATAAATGAAATAAAATCTTGTTTCTACGTTTAAATATTTTTACTGCAAAGCAATTATTTTACCAACAAAATGGAGTGGTTCATTGTGAAATCACTTAGTGGGCACAGAAAATTGTTTTCTTCATTCTGGGTTTAAAAAACATAGCCCTGGAAGATTTCTGTGGATAATTTTTGATGAAAATCCCTTCAATTTTTTTCCCCTATTAATAATTTCTAAGAGGAAGGTAGAAATTTTCCATCACCTCTCATGCAGATCCCACAGGAATGCCTGTCTCTGTGGGGATATGCCAACCACAGAACTCTCTGAGCTGGAGTGCCTGCCATTATGTGTTTAGAGACATATGCTTGCACTGAGAATACTGGGGAATTCTGCTCACATTAGCAAACCACAGGGTTTTCTGAAGTAATTAAATAGCAGAAAGATCACTTCTTCCCAAAAGGAAGGTAACTGAATATTGAAACATCAGGCAGTTGTATAACATAGCTACATGGACACAAAGTTGAAATCTTTGAAAGGCTTCTAAGAAATCCCCTTCATCAGACCCAGAGATCATGTGTGTGGTTTTAGGAGGGACATGGATTGTGAAGGAGGCCTGCTCATGATCACTAATATGGTCTGGCAAAAATAATCACTTTGTTATTCCACCAAAGGCAGGACCAGGGTACGTTAGCAGACCTTGAGAGAGGAGAGAGCATGAACCTCTCTTTCTCAAACCTTAAACTCTAAGCCCCAGTACATTCTGTCTCCTGTACTATCCAACCAGTAACAGTCATTTGTATCAATTCCATTTCTTCAATTTGACATTATTTCTTCAAATTTATATTATTATTAAATACATGTGTACTATTAGAAATACTTGGGTTGAGTAAATTTTTTTCATTTTGAGGAACATGACTCATTTTATTGCAGGTGAGTAAGAAAGATCTGACAAAGAGTTCTACTAGAGAATCTCCATCAGAACAGTCCTGTACCTACAAGTCTTCTACCTTCAGTCTTGCATTGAAACACCAAGCAGCTTGAAATTATCATAAATTAGATAAAAACTTCCATTTTCTGTCAAAATGGATCACAATCCAGTTCACAAGCTACTAGAATCATTAATCAATGAAGCAAACATGACATAAAATAATTGAATAATTACCTTCTAAGGTATTGCCCAAAGCCCTCCATCTCTTGATTGCTCTGTTCATTCAGAGGATAATTAAAGCTAAAGGCATAGGTTTTTCTCTTATTTTTCAGAAGACCTGTTTCTAAGTGTTCTAGTTGCATTTAAGCCAACAGTCATAAAAGCATATTCTGCTCTGGAGTTCAAGAGCCAGATTTCTAAAAGAATTACATGCCTGAAGATACAGTCTTGACACAGTTTCCAAAAACACAATAGGGGTTAACCATCTATTCCTACAGGCTCTACCAGTGTTAGCATGGTCCCTCCCAGGAAAAATACAGGAATGCAAGGAAATTAAAGTCACAAAACCATGTCTCTGGAACACACCCATGCAATGAGTATAGCATTTTTATTGAATAAGTACAAAAGAATGGCTACTCCAAGTCAGTTCAGAGGTCCACCTAAACAATTCTCCTGTATCTTCTAACAGAGCCTTATGGAAAGAGTATAAGAAATGTGCTTGGCATGGGTTGATTCTTGATCTTCATATGCCTTCTAAGCAATCAGTGGCTTAGGGACTTACTGAATCCCCTTCCTCCTGCTCATTGCCATATCTCATGTTTACCTATAAACACTCACAACTTGCTCTAATCATTGCTCAGCAAAAGCTACAAAAACTTTGCATGATAAACATAAAAACAATGCATTCAGGTAGCACTGTATCCGGAATCACAGAGATGAAACCTGTGCTTGTGTACTCTTTCTACCCTTTCTGTTTTTTATAAAGAGGAATCACAGGGTGCATCAGCTACAAAGGTCCTATCAGTAAAGTAGGGTAAATGTTATTTAGGGCCACAGAGTTTAAAATTACTAAGAGTACATGAAATCAAATACGTTGCTTTCACAATTTTTGCTAGGGAAACAGATATGTGTTGCCATGGTAAGAGAGAGCAATACAGGTCCACCTCTCTGTGCCACTGACAAGACCTTTCCTGCAATGATTGTTAGGTTGCTTGTTGCTGAAGTCTCATCTTACTTTGAAACCGTCACACACGCGCCTCATTAATCACAGCTTAAGAATACATGACAGGTTGCTTCATTCCCTCCAGCTGCTCAGTGGAGCAGTTTCCAAAAGAAACTAAATCAGCTTGGCCTAGTCTTTAGTAGTAGGGGCTGTAGGCTTGCGTTTGGTCACATCAGAACTGTTACAAACAGTGGATCCAACTTCTTCTGCTCAGACTTGAGTGAAACCACTGCTATCTCTAGAAAGCAAGCCTTGTGGTCACACCTTTGCTTTACAAGACCCAGGGCACATTCCTTTTTTGGTGTAATCACCACTCACCCTCCCTCCCTCCCTCACTCCACTGCAGCAAAAACCACTTCTTTTGTATGCACTTCTCAGGTTTTAACAACTTCCCAAATGCTGCAAGGAAAGAATATCACACATTTGGGGAAAAGGGAGGGTGGCAGAAGAAAGTTCTGTTCTTGTACATGGTTGTGGGCACTGGGACTGCTCTTTGTCCTTGCTTTCTGTGATGAAAGCTGCCATCTGTCCCAACCCATCACCAGTCTAAAAAGCTGGCATCTCTTAGCTGATGATAGCATCTAGAAGACAGTTCTGATAGGATTGTGCTCATACCTCTTGTACACCCAGACATCTCTGTCTCACTCCAGACTCCTCTCAAACAGAAAATGCTGCCAAAAACTAACATGAGCCCTTAAATTTCCCCATAGGGTCAGTTCATTCAAGTTCATGCCCTTCCCACTGCTTCAAGAATAATCACAGCAAAGTCTGCCTGCTCCTTGACTTGATGCATCATTCTATGGAAAAAAACTGTTAGGGAATCAGCTGTGTCTGCTGGAGGGCCCTGGTGCTTGTCAGGTGCTCTGCAGAGATCCAGAGAGCAGCTACAGCCTTAAAATTGAAAGATATTTTTCATCAAGGTGAACATTAAAAAAAAAACAAACCCAGAAGCAGATATAAAGGTAGAATGCTAGGAGGTATCCATGGAACACCAAGTAGTATTGTGAAGGGGCACATCCAGAAGATCAGAGATCTGGTTAAAGATATTCTGATGGGGGGTTTTGTGACATTCACAGCATGAGTCACACCCTGTCTTTTGTATGTAGCTGTAAAGTTGTTCACTGAGCTGAGGTAGGGCTGGAGGAGCATGGGCTGGGGAAGGAGCTCCCAGCAGCCTCTCCACTGCTGCAGAAACCCAGGTAGAGCAAGTCAGACAAGTAATGATCAGCAACACTTAGTCCTTCTTCAGACACTCCCATCCGAACACAGAGCTTCACACTTAAAATGCTTATTACTGCTTAGCACCCCTTCCTGCAGTGGGGTAGCCATTACTATCTCTGGGCCTGCAGCAGAAAAGGAAGAGAAGAAGCTGAGGCACAGAAAAGGGAAATGCCAAGAACTTGGCCACCCAATCCTCTCCTTTGACCACAGTAGCTGCTCCCTGTTCACACTGCACATCAGCAGTTCTTTACTGCCGCATCCGCACAGTGGGATGAAGTGTAACAATGTTCCCATGAAAACAGGCCTTTCTTAATGTTTTGTTTCACTTTCTACAGTTTCCTGAGGAGGTGAACTGGAGAGGGAGGTGCTGCTCTCTTGTCTTTTGTACCCAGTGATGGGATGCATGGGAATGGTTCAAAGCTGCACCAGGGTAGGTTTAGGCTGCACATGAGGAAGCATTTCTTTATGAAGAGGGTGGTCAAACAGTGGAACAGGATTCCTTGAGAGGTGGTTTCTGCCCCAACCCCACCAATGTTTTGGTGTTTCAACAACACCCCTATAACATGCTTTAGCTTTTGGTCAGCCCTGCAGTGGTCAAGCAGATGGATTTAATGATCATTGTAGGTCCCTTGCAACTGAAATATTCTATTCATAGCTGTGAGGTATGTACAATCCCCCTAAAAACACTGGCTCCACCAAGTGGATGCAGAGCTGCTGCACCATTCTGCCAGTCCTAGATGCTGCACTTTACAGCTGTTCCCTCTTTCCATTGAGCCTGTTCTTTAATCAACACCTCTCTCCACACCATGGATTCCAATCCCTCTGATTTAGGCTAGTCCCTTCTATCACTGTTCTTGTTATCCCCTGTGCTCTCTCCAGCCCCTCCTCAAAGCAAAGGCATTCTGCCCAGATTTCTGCTAGGCTGTGCCCGCTTGTTAACTTCAGATTCATTTCCTCAGCTGCTTGGATTTCTTACAGTCTCAAATGACTTCCATGCACACAAACGTTTACCTTTCTCCAAAATTCAGAATTTCTACACCAAAACCATTCCCTGAGCTTTCCAACACTTTCTTCCCTTATTACACAGTAAACACACATTACCAATTTGGCAGGACTACCTTAGGATCGTAAAGATAAGGGAAGCAATCTTACAGTTGGTGCTCAGATTGCAGATACAGGAATCCAATCTCCTTGCCTCTGCTGGTAAAGTAGGGTTATTTTAAAGGTCGGTGCTCTGCCTTTTGGTAAGCAAGTTGATAGATTAGGTCAGAACAGGTTCCTATTTGCATTTCTCTTGCAAAATTCTGCTGCAGTACATGTTGTGCAACATCATCCACATCTCCTCCCACGACTATGCCGCACATAGTCTCAGTATACCTGTACACACTAAAACCTCAGTGGAGCCTCAGCAAAATGTATAATCAAGCAACCAGAGTGTGACAGTTCAGTAACTTCTGAGAGAACAACCCTGACAGCAACACCCTTAAATCTGCACCTACAGTCTGATATATTCACGTAGTGAATTACACACATTAACTTGAGTGCAGGAATAAACCTCCACCTTGTGCTTTGGGCATATATACATAGATACTGTAACTACAGCACCAGTTCCAAACATTCATCAGTGAAGTGACTCAATTCCCAGATTTGATTTCAAAGTCACATTTGTCCCAAGCACACCAAGAGCAGTTCTTTTGCCCAGCTTTCACAGGTGGTCCCTGCTGAGGCCATCTGTAAGGGTGATGAAGCAATAAAGTATCTCAACTACCAGCCCACCATCCTCCTTTAATCTGCAAAACTGTCCTGACCATCCATCCCGTCTGCATTTCTCTGTGGGTAGTTTATTGCATAAAAAAAAAGCCAACAAAAAAGAGACATATCTAAAGGCTTAACTTTGCATAGTCTGGGTGCTGTTCAAACATACAGAATTTGACTGCTCCCTCACATCTCCATTCTCAGGGACTAACCACTCAGCAGCTTCCTTTAGCCTGTACTTAAACTATATCCATTTGCTTTTTTTTTAATACTCACATTCTCTTGCATTCCAAGTGGCAAACTTATCTTGTTTAAATACTTAAGATTATTCTCACAGGAATGCCTATAAATGTTTTCTATTCCATTTTTCAAGTAAGATAAAAGATTAGTGATATTAGCATAGCAATACCCCACCTGCACTCATATTCTCCTGATTTAACTTGCTGAAGAACAGAATCTGAACTAAAAGACAACATCAATATCATTTGATCTGCTGCTTCTGCAAAAAGAAATCTCACATATCTGAATATATACAAAAGTATCTGTTTAATGGTAATGCAAAAAAATAGCACTGGGTGACATTATAAAATAATGACCACTTTCCAGACATGAGCTATCCCTGTGTTCCAGAAATCCATCCCATATCTGCCAAAGCATCACAGTGACTTTTCTGTGCAGTGTAGGAGGTAAGATGGCTCCAGTTGCCTGCTTTAAGTGCAAACAGCTCAGGAGGCAGCCATTGACAAGGCAGGACAGCGGTGCACTAAGTGAGCACAGGACAGCTAATGTCACCCCCCGCTGCTTTTGTTAATACTTCTGTCAGCTCAGCAATGCAGCGACTGCTGCTGGAAAAAAACATGCCTGGCATTTCTGATGGCTTCCTGCAGAGTTACATGGAGAAGAGACAGACAGCCTGAAGGCTTAAAATGAGATCAGTGCATGGAAAACATGCCTCGCATTTTCATGCCTGTCTCCTTCTGCTGGGGAGAGGCATGGGGGGGAAGGGACAAAAGGAGGAGGGGAAGGTAAATGAATTATGTTACATAAACAGACCGCACCAACAGCTCTGATAGCATGAGGAAGTCATCATGTTAGAGAGCATGAATGCGACCCCTGGCCACTGGCAAAGCATCAAGAAAATTTGGTGATGGTATTGAGAAATAAAATAGCTATTTCTATATCTATGTACAACTATCACAGCACTGTGATGACTGAGTTTAAATACTGAAAGTCTGACCCTTGGCTTCCACCATGGGATGCTAACTCTTGGGCCAGTGGGGGAATGATGCCACTGAAAAAAACAGGTACACTGCAAAAGATGAGGGAATGAGATCTTGTCTACTCCTCATGACAAAATCTCCCCAGTTTTGTGGCAAATGGCTCTGTGCAGTGCATATCCAACATCAAAGATTTGATCTGGAGTCACCATGGTGGGGACTATGCTGAAAGCAAAGGGCAGGATGCTGGCTTTTGAGCAAAGAGGTTAAATTGACAACATCAAAGTTACCACCTTCCTAAGAGAAGTTAGGAACAACAAATTGACAACATCAAAGTTACCACCTTCCACAACTCATGTCTTCCCCCAGTGTTCCTGAACCTGCCTCTTCCTTATATTGGGAAGAAACCTAAGAAAAGGGCATCCAGTCCAGTGCAGGAACAAAGAGGGAACAGCAATGTTTTGACAAGATGACACATGATGGAAGTACCAAAGAGGAAGCAGGGAAAATCTTAGAGAAAAGAATCTGTCCAGTTCTCATGGGGAGACAGGAAAAAAAGGAGGATAGGTACAGGGAGGAAGAAAACGTTTTCTGGTATTCATCAGGAAGAGATGTGAATGAACTATCAACCTATACAAAATTGGCACACTCTTCCAGAGATAGTAAATACATTTGATCAAGGCACTGCTCTGAGCATGAGTAAAGGTGGGGGAGCAGGAAAGGAATTGTCGGGGTCTCATAATTTGCCATGTCTTAGGCAAATTCAGACAATACCATCCCATAAGAGAGTATCTTGGCTGCTATGCCCTAATTTTTTTCTGTTACTTCAAAGAGTTAATGTTTATTGCTCTTCAAGAAAAGTCTACATAGGAGTTCATACAGAGGCTGGAAAACTGTAATTGCTGCAAGGAAACAGACAGTGATGATATCTACTGTAGCCTGAATCCACCTGAACCCCAAACTGAAAAGAAGAGATAGGCCTCCACATGGAATTCAGCCTCTAAAATGCCATCTCCCCAGAGAAAATTTTCTAATTCATCTTTCATACCTTTTCACTCTCTGCAAACTCCTGCAATATAATTTGTCTCTCCACACACAGTTCCAAGAAGTCTTCTGAATGGAAACTTTCATGTAGAGCAGGGAAGAATGTTAGCTGGTTACAGTCCAATCCCTTCTTATCCATCTCTCTTTCTTCTCCATTTAATGTCAGGTCTCCTACATCAGCATAAAAGAGATTGCAGTTTTAGTGGTAGCTGGATGACACCAGAAGCATTTGCAATTTAGACTTTCACCCAATCTATTCTACTTTGGGAAATATCATTATTTATCTGCAAAAAAACAGGGAGAAGTAAAATCTGTGACTGCTGAAGAAGGATGCTTAGTTCAGGGAACTAAAGACAGATACATGCAGTCAGTCATAATTCAGACTAAATTCCTATAATCACAGAAGATTAGGGAATTAGGAAAAATTTAAAATGGTAGTCTTCTGGGAACACACACTGAGCAAGCTCTTAAGAAAACCCAAGGAGAGACAATCCACTTACATCTTGCCCAAGCTGTGTCCCAAGTTTTGCATATTCATGGAGTCCATACAGTTAGGAAAGGCATGATGAGCCTTCTTATTGAGGCAGACTGTAACCCCTTTCATGCAGAAACTCCTTGGTTGGAGTCTGTAACTATGACCTCCACTCTCACTTGTTTTCTAGGCCCTATCACACTGAAAAGTGTACAGCAATATTGCATGTTTCCAACAGTGTACAATAGAATCTTGACTTGGAGCAGCTGTACAGGTGGCTGAAATCCACAGCCACAGACTGACATTTCCAAACTACAGTTCTTTCTCAATTACCTTTTTTACCCTTTCTGAAAAACTTTTGACTTCTGTACCACATTTCAGTCCCCTCACCGCCCCCCTGCTTTTTATGTCTATGTAACAGAAAATCTGGCCTTGAAAAATTAAAAATGTTGAGAAAATGATAAGATTTTGAAAAATCTGGTTCTATTTTGAACAGTTTGGCATGTTAACATTCTTGTTGATTTCCTTCCACTCTTCATTATTTTGTACACATTTTTGGAAAGTTACAATTCCTATTACCACTTCTCTGTGCCATCTGTAACCTGGTTTAAAATACTGTTTCAGAGGTAGAACCGTAGTGTCTACTAAAAGCAGGGGAAAAGGCTGCACTTTTCCTTCTGATTTTAAGCAACTGGGAGCTTTCAAGGTGCCCAAGAGTGCCCAAAGCTTTCATTTCAAGATAGCTTTTTTGCTTTAGATCTTTCAGATGGCAAAATGAGAGTAGCAAATTCCGAAGACAATTTTTTATATTACCTATAACAATTGCATCAGCTTTTTCCCAGAAGTTACAGTGACTTTTTAGCCCAGAGCACTGACACTAAGTTTTTTTCACTGTATTAAATTCTGTCCTAGAACTCCATACACTAATTCCAATTATCTTTGACTGTTTGGGTTCACCCTCTTCATGATGCAATTTAGCCCTAAAAGATTACCTGGATTCACTTCAGCAGGGGAGGTTGTTTCATTTCTGTTTGCTAGGAGAACCTGGAAAGAGACTAGGCATGACCAGAGTAGAATATGCAGACAGGTGAACATAACTCAAAACCGTTTTGCAGAGAAAAACACAGATTAGAACTATGTTGCAAATAAATGCCTTCAAAATTCAAATAAACTCGGAAAGGAACCCAAAGGAACAAATGTCAACAATTAAGCAAAAAGACTACTGTCTCTTCAAAGAAGACCCTGCGTGAGGCCAGTTATAGGATAAAAATCATACCACTCTACAGGAAACTGCGAGAATCCAGGCTTTACATAAAAGCTGCAAATGTCCTAGATATGGGAACCTTATTCTGAAATGCTTCAGCTTTTGGTTGATAGTATTGGCACTTGGAGATTAGAAAGACAGACAATAGTACATACCCCACATATACAGTTCAATGTTTAGTTTAAACTACTCTAATTCCCCTTTTGATCATTCACCAGTTCTAGCAGCCCTGATAAGCACAAGACTAACAGGACAGTGCAGCCTTCTAACTTTGTTGCATACATTGGGAAGCACTACATCCTTGAGATACTACAAGCAGAAAAGTATGGACAGGTTATACTGTCCTCAGCCTGGGAAGATTGTATACAAGAAAAGAGGGAAAATCATTCTGTTGCTGTTAAACACATTGCAACCTCTCTTGCTTCTCTTATCTTCTTAAAACCAGATCCCTTCAGTGGGTTCTCTATGCATGGCACAGCATATTGACAAGTCGGGTGATAAGAACCAGAGGAAAGAGATGCACATATTTGTCAAAGGTTGGTATTCACGATCTTGGAGGTCTTTTCCAACCTTAATGATTTTGTGATTCTATAAAGTCACCAGCCCAGAAATAGTGCACCTCTTGCAAAAGCTTTCTACCTCACTCTTCATTCTCATCATTGCTGCTCGAGTGTTCACATCTTGAATTCTCCTCCTCATTCGTGAAGGCCCCTCATAACGATCCAGAATCCATCGTGGCTCCGAGGATCGTGATGCATCTCTCCACGGGCCACTTCTGTAGAAAAGTTGCTCCTCAAGTATCATCCAGTCCTTGGCTGCTTTGCTGTAACCACACTGCTGCATCTGTGGGACAGAACCACTTTGTGCCATGTTTTGAACACTTCCCTCCCCTCAACCAGCAGTGGCACCACCCCAGTGATTCAGAGGGATGTGCCCAACCTACCAGATGGGATAAATGCAGAGGGAACACTGCAGTTCTGGCAAACACAAGCCCAACTGACCACTGGAAGTGTGCTGCAGGAGATTTTGCTAGTCAAACCAGTGATAGTTGGACTAGAAGATACAGTGACAAATACAAGCATGTCACAAACTTGCAAATGGCTGCTTTCATTACATTTCCAACTCAAAAGCAGTAAGTCAGAAGAACCGCATCACAGAGGTTTTATTCACTTCATTTTCGTTCTGGCAAATGTGTCTGTCAAATGGCAACAACCATGCTTGCTGAAAACACAGTCTGAATGTCTCAGTCAGAAGTAACTGTGCTCCCTCCCAGCTAGGCATAAAATTAATTATTTCTACTTAGTAGGTGTGTTCAGGGAGTTGGGGGGCACTAAAATATCAATTTAAAGGAGAGAAGAGGTGATATTTTCAAAGAAGGAAAAGCTTGTTGGTCTCTGATGGCCAATCCTGAAACAGAAACACACCTGTGACATTTTACTGTCTGTAAGGTTGAGATCTCTGAAAAGTTTTACTGGCTGCTAAGATAAAAAAAAAAAAAGTCATAGTCCTCACTTTCATTTCTGCCATTGTGAGAGAGGAATAATTCATTTAAAAAAAAGAAAAAAAGGTTCCTGAAAACAAAGTGGGTAATCCAATTGCTGAGTGATGCTGTCTGTATCACTCTTCAGTGGTAATGTCAGGGATGGAGTATTGTCTCATCAACTCTCAGCAATTCTTTATACATACTACTCCTCTCACTTCTAAAATGCCTGATTTCACAGGGTAGTCCAAGAGCAACCTTTCAACAACAGAAAGCTGTTGCACAATATTCCTGTTCTTTACCTGTATGTGGTTCTTGTACAAAGAGGCATACAGCTCCTGTCCAATTCTCCGGTACCGTTCCATACATGACACAAATCCCTAAAAGAAACATCAGAACACATGGCAAGTTGCTGCAGGTATAAATTCTGTGAGGGACAGAAGCAGGCATTAGTTCCTCTGTCTTTTACAAGAACAAGTAGGGAATATGGCCTGTGTCTGCAACTTTGGTGGCTCTCCAGACAGTACAATGATGAGACAATCATCTGAGAGCAAGTTACACACTTACACTGTAGTCATGATTTTAACAAGGGTCATTAGTAGAACTACTCAAAAGGAAAAAGAAAACAGAAAATAAAATTTAAGGCTTCTTCTTTTGAAGCTGACTTATTACTGCAAGTAGCATAAAAGACATTTATCTGTTGTAGAGACCTTGACTGAAATAAGGATCTATAGTGATCCACCTGATCCTTTCTGCATGAACAGAAAATGCTAACAAAGGTATGGTCTAGATCTCCTTTTCTAAAACAGAAGATGAACTGCTTCAAAACACATTTTTGAGATTTAGGAGCCTAAGTCCTCTAGCAACATGTGACTTGGTGTATAAATACACTATTTAATGGGATTGTGATGCAAAGATATCTGAGCTAGCTCTAGAACTGGAAACTTTGAGAGTTGTGCTAGTGCAAGACAACACCCGTAATAACTGCCTCTGCTGCTCTATGCTACTACAGACATTTTTGTTTCCTGATCAGAAAGGCAAAGCATATGGAATGGCCGTGTGTATAGCTGAAGCATTAAACAACTGCCAAGTAAGCTACTGTCTTGTTTCACCTTATTGCATGAAGATAACTGAAGAACCAATATAGAACTCTGTTTTAAAAGGCTGTCCAACACTCATGGGACTGTTTGAGTCTTGTAACTAGTTTTTCTAAGCAAACACAAGAATAGCTGCTCCAGCTGTTCCTCTCCTTGCTCATTATCTCTTGGTGTAACTGCTGAAAAGTGGCCACCTGGGAAGAGTTCAGCATCACAACCTTCTTAATAACAATCACAGGTAAAAATTCTCCTGTTTGACAGTGTATTTCCCAGAAAATGATTCTAGCTATCCTATTACAACTACATGCTGCTGTGTCTGATCTGGGCAAACTTGCTTTCAAATTTTTCAAATAAAAGCTCTCTGAAAGAGCAACTTCTTTTTCCCCTTAAGTCAATAGTACAACACATCAGGACCTCATTCAGGATAATGCTCCTAATCACTACTGAAAGAAGCAGAATTCCCACAGTATCCAAATAAACTAGAAATATCTGTTCCATGTGCCAGAACATGGTTCTGAAGTCAATATGAGATTCTTCAGCCTTCCCAGAAACTTTCACAAGGTATACCAAAGCCATGAAATTAAAAAACAGGATTCGGAGTGGTTGACCATTAACTGCATTACAGAAAGTAGCAAAAGTGTCCTTTGATAAATTGATAAATTGATCTGTCCTTTGATAAATTCCTAATGATTAGAGGTGGCAGAGAAGGCAGAAGCTGTTCAGAGATTGTATAGGAGAGATGAGAGTGCCCCTAGTGCCATTTGAAGATTCTCATGACCACCTGAGCTTCCCTGACAAAGGTGAGATTTCTGTGAGTCACAGCATGAGGCTAAACTGGCTGTCAAAGTCCTGGCCTCTCACTACCTAAAACCTCAGATCAGGTGGGTAATTTTTAAATGCATGGACTCTGTGCCCCACTGGTGGTGATTCCTCACAGCAAACTGTCTAGCTGCTGCTTGCACTGTGCTATAATTAAGTTAACATACAAGGTCTGTGTGGTGTGCTGATCACTGCTGGCTGCCAGCCAGGTCTGTACCCCTGCCGCGAAGTCACATTTATTGGTGTTTCCCTGCAGGAAGCTCCTGTTTTACACTGATGAAAGTCATTATATTTTTGTTTGTTTAAAGCATCATTAAACCTGTAATCACAGTTGTGGCCTCACAAAACTATTCCATAATTCATATAAAACTCCCATAAAGCCTGACCTAGAAAGCAACAGCATCTCTGCTGTTAAGACAGGCTCAGTACAGGAGAAGAGCTGAGATCAGTTGCATGTGGACATAGGGCAAAAGCCATTCAGAGTAGACAACCAATGCCCCCAAGTATTAATAACCATTTTAGATACTCACAGGCCACTCAAGCCAAGTCAGTGCTCTACTGCAGCTGTTTCAAAGGTGCTCATAGTCTGTATTTCACTCATGGTCACCGTTCAGACCCCTAAGGTCAAAGCCCACATTGCAAAGATTCTCACTGACCCAACTCCTAGCCTTTGAAACATATGAAGGGTCCTAAGAAGGAAAAATTCTGCTAGCCACATCTGGTCAACTGAAGACTATCCAGTTTGGTTTCCAAATGACCTACAGCTAGCCATCTTCAACCAGATGAACATGTCCCTATTGATCATCCCCACAGGAAAGCCATTTGGCTGTAAATTAAATGAACAGTAAAAAAAATTGGAGATGATTGGGAAAAAAAGCCTACATAAGCCAAACCAACCAACAAAACCAAAACCTGAAAAAGATACTCAATAAACATGGAGAATATAGACCAGACTATTATTTATTAAGTGTTCAGTTAAAACAATTACACTATAATTCTTAATGAACAACTAGTGCAAACAAGTTTCTAACAATTAAACAGATTCCATTAAAAAATGTAGGTGTTTATCCTTTAAAATGGCAACTCTTTATGCAGTAGATTAAATACAACAGTGTCACAGTGTAGTATTTTAAACAAGAACAATATGCCAGCTTTGATAATTGTTAATGTAGTGTTACATAATATAAGGTTTGAATTCCATATGCAGAAAAAGAGGTGTAAATATAAGAAATATAATATGCATTTTAGGGAAGGGCATACTAAAAGGCCATATTGATCAATCCTTTCCTAAAAATCTGAGTATGAAACCATGCTTTAAGTCTCTACTTTGCAGCCTTAGACAATCACATTCTAAGTAGAACCAGATCATTTTGCTGCCAGCCAGTATTTAGAGTTTGAAAAGATGATGGAATTTACAAGTTATTTTCCTATTAAAAAACAAAAAAGCCCCATAGATCCAAAAACCATTTCTCCTATTGCTGTGTGGAGTCCTCATGCAAATAGGAGAGAAAGTGATTAGCACTGAGGAAATCCAGAGAGTGAGTTTTCTATAATTTCTTTCAACTAAAGGAATTGAAAGACTGCTTGTAATGAGAAACAGTAAAAAAAAAAAACAAACCAAACCAAAAAAAAAAAAAACAACCACCCCCCCCAAAAAAAAACAGTTAAAAAGAGAAAAAAAAAAAGAGATTGAGGTGTGACTTCTAAGTTAAATCTCTACTGAGTTCTGGAATGCTTTATGTCTGTTTTTTTTTTAATATATATAGATCACTTAACATTCCCACACCTCATAAATATTCAGACTTGCCATAATAAACTCATGTTGCATGATACAGACACCACATGTACCACAGTTCTTTCCTTAAGAAACATTCTGTCCCTGGGGCTCTGCACTTTGAAGCTTTCTTGGAGAATTAAAGGCTATATTTTACAGAATATATTACAGAACACACATGCACACAAAACTATGTGCCAAAACTCTTAATAAATGAAAATAAACTTCAAGACAAAATAATTTTGGACTTCTAAAAGACAAAAGGAAAGCCCAAATATTCAATCCCTCACTATGCCAAACAAATAATCTCATGGATGATAGTGACAATACCCACATACCTGTTTTGAAGCATGTGTTTTAAATCACCTGTTGGTAAGGGCTAGAACTAATGATAATGGTACACTATTTTAGCTCTTCTGAGCAAAATAAATATTATAAACATATAAGCATAGAGAGTAAGGGCATTTATGTAGCAACAGCTATAACAAAAAAAGTAATATACTCTTGTATAGTACTTTTCACCAGTACATCTCAGAGGTCTTTATGAAAGAGGTAAAAGTCTTTAGCTTATAGTTGGGGAAACTAAGACAAGTAAGCTTCTGGAACATCACAGAACCATAGAATGGTCTGAGTTGGACAGGACCTTAAAGATCACCTACTTCCAACCCTGCTGCCATGGGCAGGGACACCTTCCACTAGACCAGATTACTCAGAGCTGCATCCAGCCTGGTCCTGAACACCTCCAAGGATGGAAAGTCCACAACCTCCTGTCACTATGACCTGGTTGCAGGGGAAGAGGGGATGGTGATGTGGAAAACCCAGCCTGAATTAATTTGAAACAGCCTGGTAAGCCTACAAAGAGGATGCACACGGTAACAGCATGCAGTAGTGGGAGGGGGGAACAATTTGATGAACCAATTTGGAAATCCCTTTTACTCTTATGTTCCCAGTAGCAGATAGTAAGTACTCTAATATAGCTGATCTACCAGATATTAGATCTCATATTCCAAGAAGAGTCCAGGTACCTTATTCCTCTAACCTGGGCTTTCACAATTCTACGAGGAAGGCTTTTTGATATAATTACAGTTATTCAAGCAATCACTAGGCTTTTAGAAAGTATTCCATGGGTGTACGAAAACAGAACAGGAGGTAATGTTAGGGGCACGCCACAAATTGCATTTAATTAGCATATGTGACAGTGGCAAAGAGTTTGTGCATGGCAGAAACAGATCTGATGACCCTGATTCAAGAAATCACTGTGTTTATGGCTGTGTTTAGCTACGTATTTCACAACTTTTACGTACAGGTTTTCTGCTAGTGAAGGGGGGCAGATTTGCCTTTAATCCAAGTATTTAACATACATACATAGAAAATATATGTACAGAACTTGAACCTCAAAAGTGACAATTAATAATACTTAAAACCTCTGTGGATGATAATTCCAAAAGAAGGAAACAGGAAATTCTCATCAGAATGAGAAAAATTACATTATACTACTGTGATATATTTCACATCTTGAATCAAACAGAAAAGCTGATTAAATAGAACACAAAGGAAATGCCATTTTATAAAGAGCAAATTGTTAAGCTTTTCTTATATATTACCCAGTAGCTCAATATTAAATTGCATCTGCCTGTGGTGCAGCATTGCTCCTCTCAGCAGCCCCGTATCCCATCTCTGACCTCTGGAC